TGTTTGTTTGTTTGTTTGTTTGTTTAATGTGATGGCTGGAATTGCTTCTCTTTGGGGAGGAGTGTGATGTTAGCCGCTGTGGATGATTTTGTGGGCCTTAGATGTATGGCCCACAGGAGCTCTGGTGGTATAGTGGTTACTCATTGGGCTGCTAACCACAGGTCAGCAGTTCAAAACCACCAGTGGCTTGGAGGGAAAATGACAAGGCTTTCTACTTCTGTAAATTGTTACCGTTTTGGAAACCCACAGGGGCACTTGGACCTTGTCCTCTAGGGTTTCCATGAGTGGAATTGACTCGATGGCAATGAGTGAGTGAGTGAGGGATATGGCCCATGAACCCGCTGTTCCCACCTTTGTCTTCCGGGGTCATAGGAATCTATTTCAGGTAGCTCCTCACCAGGCATTCATCTGTTCACTGGCCTTATTATTAATTGAACTTGTTCTTAATCATTTATCTTATTTAGTAATATCATTTTATTCACCCACACAGGAAAGTGGATCATTTCAGATGGGCATGGAAACATTGTTTCTTCCAAGCCAGAGCTCGTTGTGGGTCTTGTTTGTTTGGTGTTTGAATGAGCCAATCCCAGAGCAGGGCCACAGCAGTTAGGAAGTGGGTGTGGCAGCAGAGAAGACTAGACAGCTGGGCTGGATCACTTCTTTTCTCCAAGTTTTTTTCTTTTTTCAGCTAGGCATTGAGGCTCTTTGAGGTCCTTCCCTGTAGTACAAGGCCACGGGAGCATGGCCAAGGGTCTACTTGGCATAATACCTAGCTACCACACCCTCCTTTTTGTTCACGAGTTTATCTGTTCTTTCCTGCATCATACTAATTACTGGGTTTTTATATCTTATAGACTAACCTTCAATATGCTATCTGTTCTGAATCTATCTTCTTAGTAAGAATCTACCACAAAATCTGATGATTTTTTGTTGTTGTTTTCTTTTGGAAACATGGATTCATGAATTAGTTGAGAATAATTGTCAATTCGAACTATTGTATTCATACAAATGCCATATCTCTCTGTTTTATGGATCTCTGTAATATTTTTTCCCAGAAAATCTTTAAGTATTTTTTTTCATTGTTGCTCTTCGATTTATTTCTAGGGTTCTTTCCATTGCTGAGCTATTATGAATAGACTATTTGTCTCTATTCCATCTTTCATTTCCTTAAGGCGGCACACAGAAATGCTAAAGATATTCTCTGTTGATGGTGTAGCCAGCAAACTGGCTGGATGCCTTTTGCTTCTCATCTGTCATCCATTGATGCTTTCAGGTTGGCTTCATAGGCAAGCATCTCATTGGGAAATAAGAATTTCCAAATTTCTATTTCTAGGGCTCATTTTGCTTTCTTACCTTCCTTCATTGGCTTGGGATTCTAGTACGACACTGAGTAGTAGAAGAAGTATGAGTGTGTCTCCTTGTTCCTGACATCAAGAGGATGCTTCTACAACATCACCAGACACGGCATATTTACAAAGTGTGGTTAATAAGTAACCGGATCCAGATGAAGTCAGTCTTTGGGGGGCAAGTTTTAGTACTTTTTAAAAAAGGCTAAGATGTGGTTGTTGAATGCTATCAGGTGATTTTTCTCATGTTGTTAATATACCAAGATTTGTCTCATTGATGTATTCACGTAGTGT